TCCCTTCTCCCTTCTCCCCTTCTCCCTTCTCCCTTCTCCCTTCTCCTTCTCCCTTCTCCCCCACTACCCTTCAACTCTCAATCCTCAATCCCCAATCTCCAACCCCCTTCCTATCCCTCTTCCTCTCCTCTCCTCTCCCTCTTCCCTTTACACTTCCCTATCTCTTCCATTTTCCTCACTCTCCCTCCTCTCCCCCATCTCCCCCTTCACCCTCCCTTTCCCTCATCATCCTCCCCTCATCATCCTCCCCTCATCATACTCCCCTCATCATCCTCCCCTCATCCCCCTCGACTCATCCCCGTCCTCCTTCACCCCCCCTTAAAATTTCCCATATAAAATCTCTATTCCCCTCCCCCCTCTACCCTCTACCTCTCCTCCACTCCCCTCCCCTTCCCTCCTTTTCCCTCCTTTTTCCTCCCTATCTCTAATCTCAAAATCCTAATCTCTCCACTCCACATCCTCTATATCACCCCTCCTTCCCCACCCCATTAACAAAAAATCTAGAATCCCTCTCCTCTCTAAGCTCTCCCCTCTCCCCTCTCCCCTACTAAATCTATCCCTCCAACCATCTCAAGTTAGTTTCAAGGTCGATGAATGACCTTAGAATATAGCTATTCATCCAAACTAAGATAATCCAGAATCTATTCCTCCAAGCAAGAAGCCTCTCTCTTACCCCCTGAATGATATCCATCCATATATCACTTGATCGAATCCACTAACTCACTAAAAGACTCACAGATCGCACTTACACTTACCTACACCTACACTCACACGCATCAAATCCAATTAATACACAATAATTTCTTAATTTTAATATTGTATGTCCATGTACCTATGTTTCGCTGGATCATTCCAGGAACCGTATTCCTATCCATTTACACCCATCCCAGCAACTCATTAACAAGCCAGAAGTTTTCCGAGATGAATTAATTTTCAATCTCCAATGTATGTACAATCCACCGTTTGCTTTTTAACCTATTTCCTCACACCTCCACTAAGCACATATATGCATCTTAATAACAAGTTCAAAGATTAGAAGACATCTCTTTTGAGCATCTCATCCAACATTGAACCAGGCGATCGCTTGTGCGTGTAAAATCTATGAATACAGTTTGAAATGAAAAAATGAAAAGGGTGTGCCGAAACAAGCCACACCAAGGATTGTCGTAGTCATATGACAAATTACCATTATTAACTTGGTAAGGGATGAATATGATACTTAATCCAAGTGCTATTTATGAATGAGCCCCAAATCTTTCAATTAAACTCTGGCTGTCTTCGGGAAGGGTATTATCCGAGATGATTCGCTGAAAACTCCAACGTTCACCTAAATTGCGGTGAAAACGTTCAAATCCTGTATGTTTCTGAAGGTGAAAATAGAAGGTTCGTAATATCGTCTGTGGCGAGAAAGGAAAGGATGCAATCAAGGTTGTTAATCGGGATCAGGGTTGACAGCTCGAAGTATTGGTCCTGTTTGATGAACGCGCCTTGAGTAATCGTGATCATCTCGAATAGTATTGATACTCTCTCGACTCTTATTATCTCCACGTTGATAGGGAGCAGCAAAAGGATCCAGTCTTGGATCCACAGGCATCAATTGACTCCTCCTGGATCCAGGTGTTTGTAATTCGGGTTCCCACGTTTCGATCACGCGTTTTCCATCGGTGCCGAGAACAAATCGTGAATTTTCGCTCATGGTTCTCGATGGTATTGGTCCACCCACACCGGCTACACCGGCTAGGCTTTCCCTCCGACTGTTAACGGCTGCATATTGTTCGGCCTTTTCTTGTCTCCTCTTCCGTACACAAAAGTATGCAACACCCGCGATAATTGCGATTAAAGCTACCAGACCAATCGTGAGACCCACAGCAGCTCCAGTGGTCAAACCTCCATCTCCTTTCGAAACCGACGAGTTGCTGCTTGAGTTTGGTGGTGCAGTTGGGGTAACAGTAACCGTTCGAACTTGACCGGTCACAGTTTCGAGGGATATGACTGGAGTGGGTGTCCACGTAGAACTTGTCGAGCCCGATGTAGACGAAGACGACTTCTGGGCGGCTACTGTAGTTGGTGGTATTGTGGAAGTACTGGATGCTTCCGTGGAGCTAGTTGATGAAAGTAGTTTTCTATTCGGAAAAGTTAGCTTGGCGACTTTACATGTTGTTCATTTTAGATGAGATAAAGATTTAAATAAATTTGAAATCAAAAAAAAGTCGCGTACGGGTTGAACGATAGTAGAAGAAGTGGCTTCAGCAGTTGAAGAAGAAGTGGTCACTGGTTCAGGACTCGACGTCGAAGTAGTTACCTAACATTGAAAAGAAGTCAAATGGGTTGCCAGTTAAGGCACACGGGAAAGCATCGAGATGGTGACTCAGGTTGGGAGAGGAAAGGAGAAGACAGGATTGTATCCAAGTACTAACCTTCTCAGATGAAGTCGAAGTCGACAATGTTGTAGCCGCTCCTTTTGTTCCCGATGGGGATAATGTCAAAGACATGTATCCATATAAACTATCTCCACCACACGTATCATCTGGATAACCTGGGCATGGGGTATTGCAATCGCTCGTCGAAGATGTCGTCCCAGGCACATAATTTGAACACCAACATTCTGATCCTTGTACCACCGCAAAAGCATATTCATCCAAGCAGAAATCGTGACAAAGACCATCGGATTGATAGATAGAGGAATCTACACGAAGGTCAAGATTAGTAATGGTCAGACTCCAATTGATTCATCAAGGTTGACTTACTGGCACTGCCAGAGCCTGTATTCAAGGTCGAGCAATACTCCATCGATATTCCCTGAACATGTTTGACCAAGGCGAAGAGGCAGATGGCGACGACCCCCAGCCGATAAGAATCTTGCAGCGAATAAAACATGATCAATAACTTTTTTGAGGAGTAAGTATCTCCGTGGTGACTTTATGGATTTTTTTCTCTCTCTCCAATGGTAAGGTTATCGATGATCATATATGTCTTAGCTGTTGCCGGAAAAAACAGTCAATGGAATGTCGGGGAAGGTGGAATGCGGGATTGCAAACGAACGGGATTAGAATATGAGATATCAATCAAGGTATCCCATTGAATGTAGTCGATCAATCAACCAGTTAATTAATCAAATCAATCCGTCACAGAGTGATGACAACGATAGCCATCTCACGCCGTTTGAAATTACTAAGAGATTGGTATAATCCTTCCCCTCTTCAGAAAGTGAAAGTAATAAGAGAACGAATGTAAAGTTGAGGGTTTTGGTGATGTAAGAAAAGTACCAAAGAGGACGAGAAGGGTTGGATGTAGGAGGAGGAGGAAGCAGAAGAAGACGAAAAAGGAAAATTGGGGAAGTAGTAGGAGATTAATTTAATGTGGAGTTTAAAGGTCGTAGGACAGATTGTAATTGGAGGAAGAGGGAGATGTGATGAGGGAGGAAGAGGAGGAGGAGAGATGTATGGAAATGGAAATGGAAAGAGAGGAAGAGGAAGAGGAAGAGGAAGAGGAAGAGGAAGAGGAAGGGAGAGAGAGAGGAGAGAGAGAAAGCGCGATGGATGGATGGATGGATAGATGGATAGATGGATAGATGGATAGGTGGATAGGTGGAAAGATAGCGTAGATAGGGAAAGGTAGTAAGAGAGAGAAAAGTAGGAAAATAGATTGATAATAGATCAAGAAAATTCCAAGCTTGATTGAATGTAAGGACCTAGTCAGAAAGGAAAGGAAAGGAAAGAGCCGTACCTAGATAGAGAAGATACCTAGTCTAGTACACCAACCAGTACCAGTTCACCAGTTCACCAGTTTGTCAAGTACGAAAGGTCTTTATTTAGTTCTCTTTGGTTCGTCGTGTCGGCCCAAATGGAAATGAAAAGCGGCAAGTAACATTTCGTGGTGGACCGATATCCCCTCTGTTAAGGTTAGTTTTGATTAATAAATGTGTCTCCTTCCAGATCTCTCATTGGTCCATGGCGCATTTGATTTGATTTCTTTTCTTTTTATCCCCTTTCGGGCCTAGTGTTTCATAAAATGGTCTCGTCCCGTGGAGAAGCTATGAGGATTAGGAGGATGGCTAGTATGGCTGGTATGGCTGGTATGGCTGGTATGGCTGGTATGGCTATTGTGTATGAGGCTGAATTAGCTTTACAATAGTTTCAATTAGAGTACTTTACCCGGCTACCTAGGACCTAGGCAGGTCAAAAGAGATGAATCGAGGGAAATGTCTTGAACCTCTTAAACTCAAAAACCGTCGTGGTGTCAGTGTCAGTCGAGAAGAGAAGGTATTGATGATTGTGCAGAGGGAAAGAAGAGGAAGAAGATATTGTACCTACTCGGTCAACAAATGCTTGTGGTCAAGAGGTGGAAGAAATTCTGATATTCTACTCTCCCTTCCTTTTCCTATCAAATCATCGAGGTACCTATCAACATATCTATCAAATGTATCTATTAAACATATCCATCAAATATATCCATCAATTATCTATCAAACCACACCCATCAAACCATATCTAGTATCTATCTTGCTCACCCAGCCACCACCCACCTCACAATCTATCATCTACCATCTACAATATCACATCATTCCTTCCCCTCCCGCATAACATGGCATGGTGGCACTCGTGTCGGACAAGTGGATGCGTGACCCGACCACTTTGACTGCCTCTGAACCGTTGGAAAGTTTCTTGGAAAAACGCCTTTGGTTGCTTGATTGATGACTAGTGAGTGATACCGCATGCGATGGAAAAAGTAACTTTTGGCTTTCTTGGACATTCAACATTGACATTAATGATTCTTATTTTGGTGTTTTATACCGTGTATGGTGTATGTGTACTATGTGAACTCCTCATCAATTCGAAACCAAATTACTATTGATTGTACGGGTTATATATAGGTACATGATAGTATGAATTGCTTTTTTCGAGATATCCTGTTTTTGGATACTCTTGGATACTTTTGGATACATTAGTAGAGCAAGTAAGCTCGAGGAGTCGAGGTAGACACTCTTTCTCGACCTAAGAATGACTTGCTTTCGCCATGTACTCCATACCAAGCTTAGTGGACATGTAAATCTACTACAGTCTACATACAGAGTACTAGATATGCATCTAATCAATGCATCCAAGTTCCAGCATCTAACCGTCTCCAACAGCATCTAACATCTACAGCTAACATCTAACATCTAACATCCAACAGCTAACAGCATCTAAATACAGAATGCATCTAAATACAGAATGCATCTAAATATGCATCTAAATACTAGGTATGCATCATAAAAGCAGCATTATATCTTTAACCCATAATCATCATCATCCCCCTCTTTCAAACTAAATACCCTCCCGTTCCCGTCTTGTCAATTCTCTTCCCACTATACGAGTAGCATGTAGAGAATATAGAAACTCTTAATCACGCCAACCATTCACAGTTCACAATTCCCAACCAGTTCCTCATGACTGTGCACATTTCCAGCATCCATCGAGTATATCCAGGTCCCAAGGTATCTCTGACCATTCGATCGTCCATTTGTAACGTCAATTCAGCAAAAGATGTGCGCGATGCATTTTCCGTTATCCAAGTTACCACAATCAAACTCAACCCTTCACCCCCCGGTACAGCTGAAATGGAAAACATCAAACGCCCGAAACGCCCGAAATATCGATATCGCTATCATTCTCTGTTTGATTTGATTTGATTTGATTTTTCTTTCCATCCATCTTGATTTCATAATTTGCCTTCCCGTACAAAGTACCTGCTCCTATGATCCACCAAAATCTTTCCTTTCCTTTCTTTTCCCATCAATCCTGCCGTGTCTTTCATTCTCCTTACCTCATTCGTCAATGGAGTGTAAATCACTGCTGTCAATAATCAACACTGCCGAGCACACCTAACTCCAAGTATCAAAGCATCTGGATAGTCAGGGACTAGCTGCAGAAATTCCACCATCCACTCCGATCCCATCCAAGCGAGCAGATTCATCATGACAAGAGGATAATTGCATCTCCAATGGTTCGGCATGGCCGCGTGGAAGTTTATCGTGTACTCTGTAGTTCGCTCTATGTGATGACTCCGGAGTCCGTACAGTATGTATATCATATATATCAACCACATCTTCTCTCCAATACATAATTCTCTAACACAAGACAAATCCCAGAACGGATCACGGAAATCACATCAACAAATCAACCAGAGAATAGATCTAAATTCGTCATCTCGACCAAATTACCATCTTTTTGCCTTCCCTGACTTCTTTCTCTTCTCAGTCTTCTCCCTTATCCACTTCTATTTGAAACCTTTTCGTCGTCATTGACATGCTTTAGTGCTGCAAGTGATGTCGATGATAATTTTCCCAGACCCACTCCCATCAACTCTCTTGTATCGTACTCCGTAAGTTGTTATGATTTTGTGATGCATGGATGCTTTGAATTTGATGATTTTTTAGAATTGGTCTTTTCGATTCTCAATGTGAGTTTATGAGTTTATACAACAAATTATCCAGAGAGATAAAGTATGTATCCAGAGAATATCCAGAGAATATCCAGAGTATAAAACACACCACACACCAAAAAATAAAGAATAAATACTCCGTAAATTGAACTTAATCATAAAAGTTATTCAATCTTTTACTTAAATATCTACTCTCCCTATCTAGATACAGTAGATACCCTATCATTACCTATTCCCCTTCCAGTACTACTCTCTATTCTCTATTCTCTATTCTCCTCCCAAACCCAACCCAATCCACTCTTCACCGTGCTCGATCGATATCACACCACCACCATCAGCACACACATACATACATACCTAGTATATCCACACCATTCGAAATATAACTTCCGAAATTCGCGTATCGGTATTAGTATCGGTATCGGTATCGGTGTCCCATACGATGATACGAAGAATTTGAATCCCTTCTTCTTTTCCATTTCCATTTTCTTCTTTTTCATTTTCTTCTTAGTAGAGTAATTATCTCTATCTAGTATTCATTCCTACATCCTATATTCTAAATCCTACATCCTACATCCTAATCCAAACCTAATAGATAAAATAGAGATAGAGATAGATATGTAACTTAAGTCGAGTACCCCACTTTCTGGCCACCCCCCTTTTGGGCCACTTTTTACACCAAAAATAGAAATTTTAACTTTCTTATTTATAGATAAAATTTATTGAAAATTTATATATATATATAATTTAGATCAATTTAAGTTATTCTGAAATTTTTAGATTTTTAGGATTTTTCTGTATTGAGATCTAGATATTGATTCGAGAAAGATACGAAAGACGTGATTCTCACTATTAATAGGCCTCTAAATGTCTATTTGTATTCAATTTAAAGAACTAGCTAATAGAAAAATAATAGGTTTTATATAAGCACTATTAAAAGAGCTAGTTTCTTTCATTTTCACTTAATACCTTTGATACAATAATCATTGTATTGAAGTCATTCCTTTGAAGTGAATACCCTTGTTTACATACTAGAGTTTCAAAATATCGATTTTTAATTTATAGGAATTATATACAAATTTAGAAATTTTATAAAATCTTTAATAACTTTCTAATAAAAATTACTAAAAATAAATTTATAAAATTTTGTTATAAATTTATAATATATTTAACTTAACAGATTCAGAAAAATAGAAAATTTCCTATAAATAAATGGTTATATGGATATATATATAGTAGTAAGCTATCAGGAAACAATCCCTGATACTGTGCCTTTTGGACAGATTGCGTGTGTGGCGTAGTGGTAAAGCTTACAACTCCTATTGTGTCCGCTTACGTAACAGAGTATCAGGGATTTTATCTTGTGGATATCGTTCTGGGATCTCTGATTTCGGGCTTTTAATTGGAACTGGGTGAACAACCAATTGAAAAGTGGATCGAATTAGGGACGAGGATGTATCTGCTTAATGATTGGATATTCTGAATTCATTAATAATGGATTATTAATGGTGAGGGTATTGGATAATAGAAGAGTGTTATTCTATTATTACAAATCATATGGTTGACTATAGTATAGTATAATAGCCCCTGTACTAGCCTTTTCGGGACGAAAAAGGTTAAAGAGGAGGGCTCTGTTATATGGATATATATATAGTAGTAAGCTATCAGGAAACAATCCCTGATACTGTGCCTTTTGGACAGATTGCGTGTGTGGCGTAGTGGTAAAGCTTACAACTCCTATTGTGTCCGCTTACGTAACAATAAATATTTAAAAAGTATTCTTAAAATAATAGAAATTATTTATATTATTCTAAACCTATTATATATTATATCTCTGTATCTGTCTTTTTTTTTTAATTTCTATATAGATTTAAGTTCAAAATTTTCAAAAATATACATAGTTTTCTTTAATAATTGTTGTTAAAAAGTTAGTAAAGATTTTATAAAATTGCTAAAATTTGTATGTGATTGTCCTATACTGTGAGCGAAACGTAGTGCGGGTTATGTGACCTCGTTTGTAGCTAAATTTTATAGGTCTTCTTTGTATAGGTTTAGAACAAGCAATCAGTTTCCGACCCCACCTTCTTATACATGTCATAAAATGCTATATAGAATCTTTCTTTTCCTTTTTTTTATCAGAGGCACTATGTTTTAATGACTTATCTATAATATTTACAAAGGATTACTCTATAACCCTACCACCTTCTACTCTTTTATAAAACAATTAAAAAATCGATATTTTAAAGCTTTAGATCTCAATACAAAAAAAATCCTAAAAATCTACAAATTTCAGAATAAGCTTAGATCGATCTAAATTATATATTCATAAATTTTTATCAAATTATATTATATATTGATAAAGATATTAATAGGCTAAAAAAGTGATTTTTGGTGTAAAAGAGTGGCCCAAAACAGGGGTGGTCAGAAAGTAGGGTACCCGACTTAGTATGTATATGCATGTATATGCATATATACTAGAATATCTTACTTACGGATGTTGTATATATGTACATATGTATATATATATATATATATTTACCAACCTCTTTTCTATCTCTTCTTTCACTCAATGGATACTCGGGATTTAGTCTTGAGTATCTAGTCTTGAGCATTCCCATCCAAAGTCAAAACCAACCCTCAAGAGTGGGATGGAATGGGAGTCCTCCAATAAAATAAATATCCTTCACGCCACCTTTTCCTTTTCCTTTTCCTTCTTCTTCCAACCTCTAACCCCGCAGATACCAAGATTCAGATTCGATTCGAATTCGAATTCATACGATGCACAATACCATCCATCTACTTCATCCACACAACAATTCATCCTGTCATTCATTTCATCCGGTGGACTAACTAACCAACTAACTAACTAACCAGTACATACCTAATCCCAGATTGACCGGATAAACAAATCAATCCCCACCATATCGGTAGAGTAATGTAACCCCAATATTGAATTGAATCCTGTACAGGGGTTAGAAGTGCCGGATGGAGTGTATGTTGCTATATGCTGTATGTACTTTGGGGAAGAGCACCAGTTCGGTTTCGTTTGTTCGTAGTTCGCTGCTTATACGGAGTATGCATTGCATGCATGCATGCGTGCATGTATGTGTATGTGTAAGTGGCGATGAAAAATGCTCTTCTCTTCTTCTTTTTTCCTTTCGTTCTTTTTTTCTTTTGGTGAGGGGATGGGTTTTTCATTTTTTTTATATTTTTTTTTTGAGGGGGGGGTTTGACTTGATCGTTTTCTTTTTTGTATGAAGTATGACTGTTTGTAGTTTTGTAGTTGTCGCCTTTTTTTTAAAAAAACAAAAAATAGAAAAAGGGGGGGTTGCGTGGTTACTGGTTGGTTGGATGGAATTGAATGAATGGGTTAACTCAATGTACTAGGTCCTTAGGGTTACAATAAGTATAAGTATAAGTATACTAATGCTCACAATGCTATTTTTGGTGCGTTCGTGTTCGTGTTGGTGTGGGTGTTGGTGGTGGTGTTCTGGATGCTTGGGGGTGTGTGGTGTGTATGAGATGGAGTTTTGAAACTGTCTGTAAGTATGGCATGTATTTACAATGGAGGTTTTGGGGTTGGATGGATTGGTGAGTGAGGAAGTGCCTGACTGACCTCGTATATCTTTTCAATTATTCAATAATATCAATCGAATCGGATCTGATTGATTAATAAATTGATTGATTATCTATCCATCAGCTCTCTCTCTCCGAGGTTCTTTAAACTACTACGTAGTATGTAGATGAAATGTAATATGAATTGAATACGAGGATTTCAATTCAAGAGTAGTTATATATTATATATCACATATTATATATTATAGTACATTACTCGCATATTGTATATTTTCAAGATAAAATTATAATAAGAATCAAAGATAATATAGATTATATATTTATAGCTATATCTATTCGAAAAGATAAGATCGTATATAGGTATTTATATTTATTATCTTTTAATAATAAGCGCTTAGACTTCAATACAGGCCACTTCAAGCGAAACTAGTATAGGGCTACTTGGCATGATAGTTAAAGAATACGATTCCGATCAATGGCTAGAGACTCTCAATCAATATAAATCCAGATTGAATTAATCCAATACAACCTATTCGAAACTCTTCTTATAGAAAATTGGTTCCAAAATCAAGTTATCGAAAGGCACCAAGCGAAATACTGTTAGCACCTTCTTTCAATTCAAAATTAGCCATGATTATATCAAGTCCTACCTATATCGATTTAAGCTTTCTAATAATAAATATATCTACAACAATATCGAAACTGCTGCCCACCTTTTGATTGGATACCCGATATACAGAAAAGAAAGGAAAGAAATCTTCAAAAACCTACCAATATCTCAAAACCAATCTACAATTCCTATTACATACGAAAATAGGCATCGAACTAACAATCAACTTCATCAATACTACTAAAATTGCTACAAGGACCTGGTATCTAGCTAGAGCCGAAATTCAAAACGAAACAGTTAAAGAAATAGATTCAATAAGCAAAGAAGAAAGAGCAATTAGAGAAATAAAAAAAAAATACAAAAGAGAAAAGAGAAGAAAGAGGAAAGAGATGAAAAAGAAGAAAGAGAAGAGTAAAACCCTCTTCAAAACCTATTATATAAACTACATACAATAATAAGCAATATACCCCAGTATTTGTTTTTACTTCCCCCAA